ATCTATCTATCTCTTTCTCTTTCTCTCTTTTTATCTATCTATCTGATCTATCTAATTTATCTATCTATCTACCTACCTACCTACCGATCTATCTATCTATCTATCTCTCTATCTGTGCGTAAACTTGCGAAAGTCCTGCCCCTGCCACGACATCTGCACTTGACCTCGCGAAAGTGCTGCGCTTGCCACGAAATCTGTACTTAACCATGCGAAAGTGCTGCGCCGCCACGAAAATCTGTACTTGACCTTGTGAACGCGCTGCCCCTGAAACGAAATCTGTACTACACCTTGCGAGAGTGCTACGCCTGCCACGACATGTGTACCTGACCTTGCGAATTGCTGCGCCTGCCAGGCAATTCAAACCTTGGGAAAACTCGACCTCGCGAAAGTGCCGCGCCTGCCACGAAATCTGCACCTGACCTTACGAAAGGCGCGCCACGCAATTAGAACGTAGCGAAACCTTCGCGTTGCCGTGCCAATGGGCCCGCGCTCCGAGAGCGTTCCGCGCATGATCCGAGACTGGTCCGAACGTGGTCCGAACGCGGCCTGACCAGGCGCCGCGAACAGGCTAGCTTTCAGCTCTCCGGAGACGCCGATTCACGCACAGAGCCACTTGTTTTGCGCATTTCTATTCTCCCACCACACGCGCGCGCATTCTTTCTCGCGCGCTTATTCCTTCTCTTGTCATTTGTCCTCAAAGAGCTAGCTTTCAATTAGTTGCCGTAACACGGAAGTTCCTTCTAAACTTCCTTTGATAAGAGGTGTACTGCATTGCAAGCTTGTGTTGTTGGTATACTAGCATCCATATCTCCAAAAATCATGTGACTGAACTTGGTTGGATTTATGCCCACCCATGATTGAAGTTCAACACATGAACAATTGTAGCATGGGTTGGACCCTCTGTGACACCAAAGTGGCTGCTTCCCACGACAATTCTATCACTTGAAATGGGGCTCCCTTGCAGCACAAAACTGGCCCCAAAAACAGCAGCTTCCACAACTGGCTTGTTCTTTGGCTCCATACGACTTCATTCTGGCCGAGTCGCTTCAGGATTCATGATCAGCTGGGAGGCCAAGCAGTTCGCATGCCTCACAGCTTTTGCCGATTCCAAAAAGGTCGGCGACCATCCCTAAGCACCCGAAAATATATACAAAACCACCAAACCTGGTCTGCCATCTCTTTCAGAACCTGCAAATCCATGGGTTTTGTTGGTCAGCGGCCATCCAAAAGCACCCAAAGACATATCTCTCAGACTCCATGGGCTTCTCTTGGAGCACCAACATCCCACTCCCCTTTCAAGGCTTTGGGTTGTGCACGCGGCCAAGTCGCGCTTTGGCCACCTGTGAGGAAGCCGCCCTGGGCGAGCGAGAGCGCGCGAGACATTGGGCGGTGGGTGGGTCAAAATCGGAAATCGGAGCCCAAGAAGGGTGGCTTCGTTTTGGGTTCCCTTCTCTTCGGTGACAAGGCGCATTTTTGGAAAAAAAGGAACAAAAAAAAGAAGAACAAAAAAACGGAGGCGGGCACGCACTCAAAAATGTTCACACGTGACTCTACGTGAGTTTCTGTTTCAGAACCTTTCTCTTTTTCTGGCCTTTTGCCGACCGAGCCAAGACCCGACCTTCCAAAAGAACGCAAAACCACGGAGCTGCGCGGCATGGCCAAACAGGGTAAGGCGGCCACACGTTCAGACCGCCAAGCAGTCCCAGTGCCTGCACGCTTGCGAAACCAACCACCATGGCCAAAACTCCTTCGGCATGGCTCTCTTGGGAGCTTTTGAGGGGTCCATGCCTGCCCCTCCCAACTCCAAGTAAACGGGTCTTTTGACCATGGCCCCTTGAATCCCGCCATTGGCCCATTTCGCCCATTTCCACAGTCCAAGTCCTAAGATTTACACCGCGTTGCTCAGGTTGCAACCACCACGGAACTGCTTTTTTCCCCGTCTACTCCTAAGATGCTTTTTGGATCGGTTACACCAGGGTGATCTACTAACTAGATGGCACAATTCCCTTTATGTGGGAAAGCAAAGGGAAGACTAAACCAAAATGATGGAATTGCCATGTACTTTCGCCAGACTGTAGTCCAAGCCCGTCACAAAGCCGCTGCTTGTCACCCGATGGCCTCCACTGCACATCGCTTCACCTCAAGGTTGGTGTCTTCTTCCAGCCGCAGCGCCAGAAAAGGTGCCTTGGGCCAACAAAACCGTGCCTTGCCGGCTTGGGGTTTTCTTGGAAAATCAAATGGACACCCAAACGAAAACCCTGAAAAAGCAGGAAAAGCAAAACCAAAACCAAAAACCAAAACAAAAACCAAATGGAAAACGCAAAGGAACACCTTTTTGAGGATGGGTGTTCCCTGCAAAAACGGGGCAGAACCGCCGGGCCAAGGCGCCGCCGACAGCCCCGCAGTGCCGATCCTGCCCAGCGCTTTGGCGGAGGACGCCCGCACCGACGCTTCCGGCACCTGGAAGGACACGGCGGATCGGCTTCGTTTGGGTAGGGGTGGGGGGGGGTAGGGGTGAGCGGGAAGGGGGGGGGGAAGTGGGGGGAGCATTTTGGGTTTAAGGGATCCACCATAGGATGGATGGTTCAGGGGGGTTGGGGGGGGGGGGTTGGGAATGAACCTGAACATTACTCCTTAAAGGAAACCATTGGATGGTTTATAAGAGGGGGGGTCTCACCGTTCTGGGGACCCTCCACGTATGATTGTTCAGGGAACCCCAAGATTGGTATTTAAAAAAAAAAAACAGTTTCCCGCTAATTGTGCGGTTTTGTTTGGAGGTGTGGACGTTATGACTCATGAGGTCCACCATTTTAAGTTTCCTGTTGGTTTCTCTACCAAAAGGCGGCTTTTCCTCAAATGGTTGGTTTTAGGTTCCTATCAAAAGGGGCCGTCCCTCCAATCTTGCTGGTGCTCAGCGGGGAATCACCCAGCATTTCGGAATGAAGCTGGGGATTCCCTTGAAGCAAACTTGTTTAAGCCATTTTGAGTTCCGGTCTCCGAAAATAATGACACACCCAAAAAAGCTGAAGAATTAGCAAATCATATCATGACAATGCATGCGGTTTGAAAGCAAGCCCAAAACTCAGTGTTATGATTGGGTAGGCCTGTATAGAAACCGTTTCTGTGACAACGCTGATTCCCATTACTAATTTAAGGGATTCCCTTGGTATCACAAACACTGGCCTAAAAGCCTGTCACAATGGCACAAAGCGAACAGATCCACTGAATGATATCGGCAGTATCCGCCGGATCCTATCAGCATTTCAAGCCGGTTGGCTCTCTCGCACACAAAAAACGGACCCCTGGTGGTTGGCGTCCTTTCGCTTCCTTTCAACACCATAGCTTCTTCTTTCTACGTTCCCTGCAGCTGGAGTACAGGAAAACCCCAAGAAAGGAAACCGGCCACATCGAGGGGTCCCCATGTAATGTTGACCCATACTCATCAACCAAGAACCAACCAGTTTATCGCAAAATTGGTGTCCATGTCTGGGTGAGTTATGTTGGGGAATCAGACCACTTTTGGAGGGGCCCAAAACCACCCCCCGAATCAAATACACTGCTTGGTTGAAATTCACATGGGGTCCACGCTACTGATTATTTTTGAGGGTGGGTGGATGGGTGGATTGGGGGTTCCTGGTTTTAAGATAGTGAAGCGAAATCCATATATTGGTTGGTCGCCAACTGGTTGATCACCCCCCCCAAAACTAAGAAACTGGGTTGATTCATATGGGTGTGGGTCAAAAGTAGGTACACGGAAAATGGCTTGCCCTGGTAAATGGACACAAGTTCACTAAAACCTGCGGGTCCCCTGGTGGCTTAATTCTGACCCGCGCAGAGGCGATCCTCCGGCCCCGCCTCCAGCCGCGCGCGCAGCAGCGACGCATAGGGCGCGGAGGCCGGGCCGAGGTCGGCGAGGACCTCGATGACGGTTCGATATACTCGGACGTCGTGCTCCTGCGCATGACTTGCCACGAGAACCTGCGATTTCTGGGGCAGGTTCTGTTCAGACACGTTTGGGTGGGGAGAACTATGGTTCCAAGAGAGCGGATCACATGGAGGAGAACAAACAAAAGGGAATTGCGGGTTTTCTGGTGGCTCGCAGATGGGCCATTGATTCCAGATCTACATGGGTCCCCCAACACAAGGACGACTTTTGGTATTCCACGTCAATTTGCAGGAGAGTAACCCCCAAAACATCCAACAGTAAACTCACCGAGGAGAGTGACCCAGTCATTTGGGGAATTCCAGATAAAACCGATGCGATGCTAGTTATCATTTCCTCATTCCAAAGTCATCCCTTCCCATTGCGTCCAGTTTCTACTATAGCAGGTAAGCCCCTAGATTTTACATCATGGGGACACCCCTGGTTACTTTCTACAGTGGCTAGAGCTGCTTAGGGTATTGGATTTTGTTAGGTTTCCCCTGGTTACCTACTATTTTGCAAACTAGAAGCACTGGGCTTGTCACAAAAAGACCCAGAGGAAGCTTTTAGCCACACGGCAAGCAGGTGGATTCCGGCCCCATAAACAACCAGCGCTTCGGGTCAGGGGCCTCTGCCTTTGATCGCTCGGGCCCCAATTCGCTTTTGGGAGTTCAAAGCCCAACAAGGTTCAAAGGCTCCAACTCCAACTGATTGCACGATTCTTTAAGCAACCTCCTTTTATCATGCGGACCCCCTAACCCAAAAAAAAATGAGGTCCTTCGACCCCTTCTTACCACCCAAAAGCCGTCCTGAGGTACCTCGACCCCTTCTTACCACCCAAGTACTTGGAATCATTGGGTGAAAAAAAACAGCGGCCTGGTGGTTGAAACCACCAACGCCCCCGTCCCCGTCACCCCCCCCCCCCGTCCTGCAGGCATCTGGCCAGGTCCGCCACGTGGGCTTCAGCCAAGGACCCGCCAATGCGCTTGAAGGCCTCCGGAGCGAGCCACAGGGATGTTTTGTTTGGTGTTCAACGGGCGAAATCGGCAGAATGGGGTCTATTCATGTGTTTTGCGTTCTTCTTCTTCTTCTTCTTAAAAAAATGAAATAACTAATCATACACAACAACAACAACAACAACAACAACAACAACAACAACAACAACAACAACAACAACAACAACAACAACAACAACAACAACAACAACAACAACAACACCAACAACAACAACAACAACAACAACAACAACAACAACAACAACAACAACAACAACAACAACAACAACAACAACAACAACAACAACAACAACAACAACAACAACAACAACAACAACAACAACAACAACAACAACAACCAACACCAACACCAACACCAACACCAACACCAACACAACAACAACAACAACAACAACAACAACAACAACAACAACAACAACAACAACAACAACAACAACAACAACAACAACAACAACAACAACAACAACAACAACAACAACAACAACAACAACAACAACAACAACAACAACAACAACAACAACAACAACAACAACAACAACAACAACAACAAACAACAACAACAACAACAACAACAACAACAACAACAACAACAACAACAACAACAACAACAACAACAACAACAACAACAACAACAACAACAACAACAACAACAACAACAACAACAACAACAACAACAACAACAACAACAACAACAACAAACAACAAACAACAACAACAACAACAACAACAACAACAACAACAACAACAACAACAACAACAACAACAACAACAACAACAACAACAACAACAACAACAACAACAACAACAACAACAACAACAACGACAACGACAACGACAACGACAACGACAACGACAACGACAACGACAACGACAACGACAACGACAACAACAACAACAACAACAACAACAACAACAACAACAACAACAACAACAACAACAAAATAGATATCTTTCATTTTTACATCATACTTAGTTACAGGATTTGAATTAAATTGGTTTCTTTTATTTTTGAATAGTAGTAGTTTTGTTCGTGGGGCAACCTTGGGATACAAACCACCAGTACAACAATGGGGGTTCATATAACCACCGCTGTTTACCTAAGTTGATTGTCATCATCCAAAATGGGTCAACCTTTCCTTTACTGGGGGTTGAAACTTAAAACCAAGTTTCTGAGATCGTCGCCTGCCATCAGAACCTGGGATCGAGGGGGTGCGACTTTTTTGGAGTTACCCGTACAAGGTTGGTGTGAAGGAAAACGGGACCAGTGCACGGCTGAGCTGAGGGGTCCAGTGAATGCTGAGTTCTGTGAACCGAGGGCAGCCGCTCGTGTCATGCGGACTCCGAACATCCACACGACTTTGCTCCAAAGAGGCAACACAATTTATGCGTGGTTGGGTCCAGGTGCAAGCACACGGAAACCAAACCGATGTCCTATCGCAAATGGCTCAGCATACGCATACGGCGAAAAATGGGCGAACCTGAAATCCGGGTTCCTTGCATGTCATCCCGCCAAAAGGAAGCTCATTCCAAGATGGCGACCAAAAGGTTCTTGAATCACCCAACAATATCCAGGATATCCAGGCAAGTCCGGATGGAATGTCCTGGAACAACATCTGGGGTCTTGCTGGGATTTTAGGAACGTCCTGGAAAAAAGATCCGGGAAAATCCCGGAAAGTCCAAACTCTTAGAGGCAAAAAACACTTATTTACCTACCCCAGTGCTAGGTAACCAGGGTTTCTTGTTTCTAGGTTTCTCATCGCTATAGAGTAGCCCAGTGCTTCCGGGCAAGCCACTATAAGTGGGTACCCAGCAAAAACCAACAAACCTACAGACAAAAGATACCGAAGGTGTGGCGAAACGCCTGGAAGCACCGGGCTAGGCCACAATGATTGATGATGTTGCTCTAAAACATAAAAGACCTATCATACCTAATGTATCAGAATATACCTCAACTCTCATCAATATATAGTTTTACAACAATCCCCAGGTGTAAAATATCCAAGAACAAACTCTCATCAACACATGATTCGTTTATAATATCAACAGGTCTACATCCCACAAAACCAACATTTGCGTCAACCAAATGCTCCTCGGCACCCACCGCCCATGCCCCGCGCCCATCTCCGATCTCCGCCGATCTCCGATGCCCCGTGCCACGCCTCGCAGGCCTGCAGCCGCACGGCGTCGCTCGGGTCCGTGAGCTGCCCCGCCAAGGTCTCGGCCGCCTGAGGCGAGCGAAGGTTTGCCGTGGGAAGCGCCTCTTGACGAGGTCCAACCCAGATTTGAGAGGTTAGAAGAAGTTGGTATCCAATTTATTCTTGTTTGTCTGTTTTAGGGGCACCCTCCCAACCAAAAAAGGGGAGAGAAGGGCACTGGGGGACCTAGTTGAGTTTGGCGCCTTTTGGAGCTCAGGAAAAAATGAGGAGATGGCCCTTTAACCATCCCCTTTCTGGGTTCCCCCTATAACCATCCCCTATGGTTTCATTTACGGGAATCCCCATGTGCATTCCCTCATTCCCTACTGAGCACCAGCAAGTTGTTCGCCCCAAATGAGAGAAAATATATGTCCAATAGTGAAATCGATTCCCTTTGGAAACCAACGGGGGACAACTAAACAAAAATATTCGTCAAGCAAAGGGAAGGTCAGGAGACGAATCGCAGTTACCCCAAGAAGACTTGTGGGTTAAATGGAAACCCAACACTAAACCAACTACACCTAAACACCTAAGGAACCGGGATGGCTGAGAACCACCAAGATAAGGAGACGAACCCCAGCCGGCCCAGTAATAACCATTGGTTATAACCTATAGTTACCAAGTTGGTTAAACCATCCAAGAAAAGCGCGTCGTTGCGCCTGTGGGGCTGGAACAGGTGGATAAGTTCCCAACCAAAAAGCGTCACCCCAGGAAAGTCACGTGTTCGACTCGGGACACTTTTGGATGAGCATCCTGTTGATAGGGCTTGGGACAGTTTTCTTTGTTCGGTCCACTTCCTGGTCCAGGCAACTTATGATTCAAATTGGCCCACAACCAAAAGGTGAGGTTTAAAAAACACCCTGAAGGGGAATTGAGCTGGAAGCCTGCTTAAGCAGAGGTGGGGTCTTCCGACGCCCTCCCATGAGGAAGGGGTGTTGTAGAAAGTGGCAATTGCACCTAGAAAGGCGGGATTCCCCAAAATAAACCCCTTATCACAAAAATAGCGACCTAAAACCCAATGTTGCTCCATGACAGCCCTTGGTCAAGCGCGTATGAACTTCAATTGGAGCCCCTTGCTGAAGTTAATTTACATGGGGACTCGTTCCAACCACGAAGTTTCACGCTCACTTCCTGGCGAACCTGTCCTGCTTGTCCATGCTGCTGGGATCCTCATCCTTGCCAGAGAGCAAGAAGGCAATGGCCTCGCCAGTCAGCATTAGCCCGCCATGGTGGAGACGTAGGATCCCATTCACTGTGAATTGGTATGTGTAGAAGTATGTACTCCGTCCCAGGGGAATGGTGGGGCATCTTACCCAAAACAAAACGAGCATTCGAGAACAACAAGGAAGAGCCAAGAGAAAAGCACCAAAAGAGGGAGCACCAAACAAACACAAAACGTGAGACAAATGGAAAGCCTCTTTCCGTCTAGTGGTTGATTCCCATACCATGACTACTTGAGCCCACATTCAATGGGAATCCCAAAGACCACTCAAAGAGGGCATTGTCAGGTGCGCTGCTTGGACATTTGGAGGTCGTATACCACCACACAGGGATTACGGCAGTATATCAACCCGAACCACCTCGAAATCCAAGCCACTCGAAATCCAGACCCCTTGATCCAACTCCCCGCCATGTTCGGACGCTTTTCCGCGCTTTTCTCGAGCCGCGCCTCTGCGACGCCTTTGCGGACCACGATGTGGGGATCGTGAGCTTTCTTCACCAAATATTGGAATCCTTTGTCCGTGACCTGGTCGGATTGCGGAGGGCTGAGAGGACCCTTTTGGGTTTTCTTGCAGGGGGCTCGCAAAATGGAGGCCAAATGGAGACCAAGAAGTGAGGCTTCCCCCATGTTGAGACAACCCATCTGGTTTGGCACGCAAAGAATCAACCAAGGGTTTGGCCCAGAATGTGCAAAACACCAGGGTTGCGCTGCTCAAAGAATGATGCATTCACCCCCCTCCCCCCCAACTATCTGGAACAAAAATGTGGCACACCCCCCCCAAGGCCCCCACACGTTGTCTTCCTTTCATGCACAAGCGGGAAGTATTGGTAGCGGCCCCTTATTGGGGGGGGGGGGAGGGGGGATGCCCCCCCTCCTTACATCACTTCGCGGGCAGGGATATGCAACCACGGCCTTAAGTTGATGATGCACTCCCGTAGATTAACCCGGACCCAACACATCCATCCGATTTTAGAGGAGTTGTCTGATCCCATGAATTTATTTGGCCAGCGTGCCCCATGAGTCATTGCAACAAACCAACTAGGAGGTATCCGGTATCAAGTAAATACGTTGTCAGAAGTTGTCTTAATCAATCTCAGACTTTGAATCTCAACAAAGGCCTTTGATGCTAAGCAATGAACAACACATGGTGGGCCCTGTCCTTTGTCCAACCCCAAACCGTCTTTCTTGACCACAACCCATGTTGCCTCTTGGTTTTTGGACCCCCAGATTTTTCTAGTCGAACGGGTCACCGGGTCACCCGCCAAATGATGCGATTCCCGCCTTGGACAAGCAAGACCACGCTGCACTGCGGACTTCCGGTTGGCCGGCGGCCAGGAACACCTGACTGCCACAGGGCCATCCGTATTTTCCCTCCGCAAATTCGCATGGAACCCAAGAAAGAGGTGCCACCAAAGAGATCATTCCAAACATGGGGGGCTGTTGGGCTCTAGGGGTAGGGGACAAGTTGCCAGAAAAAAAAAAGAAAAAAGACGATTTTATGTTTCTTAAACAAACCTCATGAAGGTGAGCAGGTGATCTGAAAGGCCTCCCGAATTGGGAAATAGAGCCGGACCCATGATGGGATCGCTATGGTTTCTGCCACGTCCCGAATTGGTTTGGATTGGTTTGGACGCCAGGTTTTTTTTGGGACTTCCCCCATGTTTCAAACGAAACTGAGGTTCAAATCCGCAAAACAGTCCAAACCGCCAACTAAAGGGCTACCTCAGTGTGGATCCTTTGACATTCCAAAAGCAATTCCTCCCACTAAGATATGGCGAATTCTGACAATATTGCCACTCAACCAGCCACATCCAACCACAAAAGTAGGGTGAACTGCGGGAACATATTGGATTCCCCATGTTTCCAAACCTGCAGTAGTATGTAGGGCATCCACCGTGGCACCTGTGGGAGGGTTCCTGGAATTGTGGTTTTCCCCGCCCTGTCTTCCCCTTGCAGTCAAGCATCTACCAGCACATCAGCATAAGGCTCGATGAACTTTGCATCTGCGGCCTGTCAATGACAGCTGCAGACCGAGCACACTTGGCCGGGAGCCAATATATGAGTGTTTTCCCTCAAAGGATCCAAAAACCAACTGCTTTTCAAGAGGATCCTCTGAATCAAAGGGGAAAGGTCATGTGTGTAAAATAACTCTCAAATACCCTTTGGACACTGTTTTGCAGCTCAAAACAGCGACCTGACTGCAACTATCATGCACCACATCTGGGTGAAGAATGACTCGGCAACCGGAAACAGGAACCCTCCAGCATGGGTAAGGTGGCAAACCCTTTGTTTGGTTTTGTCCGGATCGAATGCTTCTAATTGCGGTCAATAAACCATAAACCAATCGTTGATCAACTGATCGACTGATCGACTGATTGATTGATTGATTGATTGATTGATTGATTCATTGATTGATGGATGGATGGATGGATGGATGGATGGATGGATGGATGGATGGATGGATGGATGGATGGATGGCTGCTGTCGCGCGTGTGCTTTCAAATAATCAGCCTATGAGTTGCTGAGTATCGGGACATCAGCTTACCATCGCACTGATTGACGTGTCCGGCGATTCATTTTCGCGGCCCCAAAGCTCACCCGCAAAACAAAAAGTGACACAACATTTACGGCTTGTGGGTTAGGATTTGGCCGTGGGTCAAAAATAGGGTAACCCCAAAATGGAACCCTGATAAATGGAAACATGGACTCAAACCTGCGGTCCCCTGGTGGTTCGATTTTGACCCTTCCCCTATTTTATAGGATTAAAACCCGGTATTCAAATGGTCGACCCAGAACCATGCTTCAAGAATTAAGAAGGCGGAGATCCGCAGCAATGTATGGTTGGGATTGTCCCGTCCCTAACCTTCATCTACCCGGGTTTTGATTGTGGTTCATTTAGGGCTTGTGGGGTAGGATTTACGGTTTTAGGGTGTAGCCGTTCCGCAGAATTGGGGATGCCCCAGAAATGACGAGCTGACTCCTGTTTCTCGCCATGGCCTGCCGTGTAAAGTCCCACTGAAATCCAGTGCAAACCCGCAGAACCCAGCAAATGCCCGTTCCACCTCCTTAACCCCCCAAGGTATGGAGCACGGTGAAACACATGGTATCGGAATGTGTGTGGGATTGGGGAAACTGGGTTCAGAAAAATAGCATGTTGGGTTTCTAGTCCCCATTTAATCCACGGGAAGGGTTTTGTCGAGGTTGTCTAAACACTAAATTGACCTCAACACCCAGTTCGTTGTGTGAACCGGATCATGTGAAATGCGCTTCTTGAGAAGCGAAAGTTTGACTCAATGCAAAGCTTGCTTCAATCTTGAGCCCGCATGCGAGCAGGTCTCTGGCAGCATGTGTTCTCCAGATTGTACAACAGGCTGAATAATTAGAATGGGGTTGTGGGGTACTTAAAAACAAGACTTAGTCATGATTGTAGGAGTGTCCTATAAGTAGTTACAAGGTCGCTTGTATGAAAAACCCTCGACATTTCGGAGATACTGCCTGGAGAGCATCGAGCATGATGCGCTCCAGAACTGCGGTTTCGTGTCCCAGATTCTCATCGTCCTCTTCCCGCAGAAGCCTAGCACCGGTGACTGGGGCCTTAGCCTCAAGAGTCCTAGCGGCTTCAATGTGAGAGGGACCTCTGAGAGGGACTTCCAGTTTAATCCCAGGGAGAGTAAGTAGATGGCACAACTCCTCTTATGTCCACAAAGTAAAGAGGATGATTTGACTTGAATGGGGAGATTGTGCCATCTACTATCACCCAACCGTGCGCAGGTAAGAACAGTAGTTAGGGGGAGGGCAACCAAAAGCCAATGAACACCTTCCTACCATCATGGAACATGACAAAAAGAGGTCCATGCAAGATCCTTTCTGTGCTAGTGTGTCTGAGGGTATGCCAAAGCTTGGCAAGAAGACTAGCTGGACCCTTAACTGCCAATTCTTGTCTACAACTTGCTGGTGCTCAGTCGGGAATGACCCAGGGTTTTGGGAATGAACCTAGGATTTCCCTTAAAAGATTGTTTATAGGGGATTAGGCGTGATTCCTCATTCCCTACTGCAAACAACGCTCACACCGACCTGGGGTAGTTTCCTTGTGGTTCAACAAAAATAACAGGAAATACACTGCAGGAAGAGACAGGCTCTGACCGCCCAATCACAGGCATGCAATTGTGCTAGAGAACCCATGACTACGTTATCACTTCAACAGGAAGTCCCTTCTGCCCTATTTGTCATTTGAGGCTCCAAATGGACGTGTCTGAAATTGTGGGAAGTGTTCCAAGTAGAAACATTTATAGACGAATGCGAGAACCAAAATTGGTGGCTCCCCCGCTGAATTTCCTTTAAAAACTGGGCGACCCAATTTGCCCATGTCCGCTTTGGGGAACAAGTAGTTTGTCCGTTTTGGGGGGTGTCTGACTCTTTGAAAAGGGGGGGAAGGAGCCCCTTGGCACGCTTGGTTTGCAGGAAGAAGGGAACCCTCGCAAATAGCTACCCTAAAGATATCCCATAGCCCGCGTTGGGATCCAGAAAAGGGTCGTTGTTTGTTCACAATTGTCTGGGGCTTGTCCAAGTCAGAAAATGAAGATGCTTCCCTTGAAGCTACCGCCGTAATGGGGGATGACTTTGAGAATGGTCAAATCATGGGTCTAGCCTTTCCTGGACTGTTTCCTATGGCCAGTCAGCGTAATTTTAAAGACCACAAGCTACTACTTTGGGATGACTTTTTGGTTTCCCTGGGTTGTGACAAAATCGCAATCACCCCTGCTGCTTTGGGCATGGGAACACTGGCTCCCGATATTTACCCTTTGAACATCACCTGACAAGAAAGTTGCCAAGGGAAGAATTTCCAGGGAGCCCTTGCAAGCCCATCGAGATGGTTTCCATTGAATCAATCGCCACTTCCGGAGGTTCCGAAGAAAGGAAACGAAGGACGCCCCGCCGCTTTGGGCGGGGCATGAGCACGAGACGATTTTGCAACCACCCCTCAAAACCAGTGCCCAACGAAGGTTGCAAAACAGACCCTAAGTTAGGGACCCTAAGTTAGGGACCCTAACCCACCCATTTTCTTTCTGGGGACCGAGAAACCGGGAAACCGGTTCGACGTCGAAACCGGTTCGGTTCCCCCGCCGTCGCTTCGGTTCCGTCCGACGACCGTCGTTGCCTCCGCATGAGCCCGGCGGCGCCGGGGGCGCCGAGGCTCACCAAGCAGTGGGCGGCCGCCAGAGCCACCGAGGTGTTGCGGTCCAGCAGCGCCTTGGCCACGTTGCCTGTCGAGTCGCCGATGCGCGAAGAAAGGTCGAGTCCTGGCTTCATTGGAGTGGCTCGGCTTCTTTTTGGGGGGGAACCAAGCTTTTTGGGCTGGTTTCAAAGGAAATCAAGAGGACACCAAAAGTAAAATCAGCATTTTTAGGGAGTCTGAGGGTTGTAGTAAGGCTTACCCTGTCTCCCACGCTGCCATGGCACCTCGCAGGGGGTCCCTCCAAGAAACTGATCCTCCCAACAGGTGCCAGATAGTAGGAAGGGCATCTGTGGCACAAACCTGCATAAACCATGCTTCTCATCGTCGGCCCAAAGGAACCTATCGGGGACAGGGTGCCCACAGTGGCTTGTTCGGCTGCCAGGTGCCCTGGGAACCCGATCGGGATTCGGGGGAGCCTATGGGCCGGGGTGGGGTTTTCTTTGTGGGAAGCCCTGAATGCGTCCTTCTGCACAGCGCTTTTGCAAGACAAAAACTTCCTTTTGGGAGCTGGGTCTGTCTACTTCCAATAGCGCAGTTCCCCTTCTGTCGGCAAGGGGGCAATGGATTGGTGTTCTTTCGTTTTTCCCCTACCAACCAATTATTGCAAAACCTTCATTCCCTATACTGACCGGCAGGGAAAGGGGGGAGGTTGGGAGGGAGGGGGTTGGGGGCGGTTCAGATGGTGGGAATGTATATGTCTTTTTCACAAGTGTCAAGTAGATAGGACCAGATGATCACACCGCCAAAGGCCGTGCGGCCTGCTATCTGAAATAGCGAGACAGCATGCATGTTGGTAGCTGTGAGATTGGAGATTCGCCGACACGAAAAACATGCGTGGCTGCCCGCCGAGCAAAGCATATCTATATAGATATGTATATACTCCCCCCCCAACAAAAAACACTCTGAAGCAATGGCATCTGTCAAACAAGTCCCACATGTCCAAAAAGGTAGTTTGTGTTGTCTGATTGGTTGTTTGATTGTTTGTTTGTTTGTTTGTTTGTGTTTGTTTGTTTGTTTGTTTGATTGTTTGTTTCTTTGTTTGTTTGTTTGTTTGTTTGTTTGTTTGTTTGTGTGTGGTTGCTTGTTTGTTTGTTTGTTTGTTTGTTTGTTTGTTTGTTTGTTTGTTTGTTTGTTTGCTTGTTTGTTTGCTTGTTTGTTTGTTTGTTTGCTTGTTTGTTTGTTTGTTTGTTTGTTTGTGTGTGTTTGTTAGTTAGTTTGTTTGTTTGTTTGTTTGTTTGTGTGTTTGTTTGCTTGTTTGTTTGTTTGTTTGTTTGTTTGTTTGTTTGTTTGTTTGTTTGTTTGTTTGTTTGTTTGTTTGTTTGTTTGTGTGTTTGTTTGTTTGTGTTTGGTTGTTTGTTTGTTTGTTTGCTTGCTTGCTTGCTTGCTTGCTTGCTTGTGTTTTAGGGAGAGGGGGGAGAGCATATATATATATATACATTCCAGGAAACAAGCAGTAACAAGCAAGGAAGCAAGCAAGAAAGCAAGCAAACAAACAAACCAACAAACAAACAGGGAAACACAAGCAAACGAAACAGACAGACCGAAGAGCAAAATTAAATTAAGCATGCAGGAAAACCAAGGCAAAGCAAGGCAAAACAATTTAAAGCAAGGCCGAGCATTGCAATCTACAACAGAAACACCCCAAACGGAAAGCCAAGCAGTCAACAAACAAAGGACACAAAGGAAAAACGGCAAGAAACAAAGGAGCAATCAGGGAGACAGCAAGAGTTGAAGCAGAAGAAATGCCGTGAAGATGTCAATTCAACAGTTGTGTTTTTTTGGTTTAAGAACAAATCAAAGACATAAACACCAAAGACTCGAAGAATGGGACAATCTGAAAGAACAAATCAAAGAATGACAGAATGACAACCAAGAAAAAAGCAAATGAGTGTTTTCTCGCGGTTGGTCAAACACACAGAGGACCGGCAAATCAAACCAAGGCGCAAAAAGAAGCGACCAAATTTGGGAACGGCATGGTCTCGGCCAATCCTTTCCGACAGAATGGGAAAGATGGAAAGGACCCGGCCTGCATACTTGGCAGCAGGCTCGCCGAGCTCCTCCCAGCATCTTGTTTAACTCACAATGTGAAGTGGTTTTTCACATTTTTGCCGGACTCCCTGTTGAAGTGATAACGTGTCAAGGAAACTACACAATGTGGGAATGAGGGAATGACCCCCACAAACAAACCCCTAAACTTCAAGCAAATTCAAAACGGCCGGGGTTGGACAAACCACACGAGTCATAATCAAAACCGGCTACTAGAATGGCCTACCCAGAAGAATGTGAAGAATTAAAAAGGCGGCTAAAGCTATTTATGGTTGGGATTTTCCCTTGCTAATCTGCATCTGCCCGGGTTTTGATTGTAACTCACATACAGCATGGTGGCCGGCGCCATGCTTGCTCTTTGCGCAACAGCGCCCGTAAAGCACATGAGTGTGTCTTGTCTTGATGCTACCCTTTTGGTTGGTTTTAAAGGGAAATCTAAAGGAAAACCTGCATATTATACACCTATATATATATATATGGGGTCCCATCAAAAATCACATGGCAAAACGAGTGCCCCTTCCTGGTGTTTGGCAGCTGAAATTGAGTGAGTCCCCCAACGTGCCGAAGCCATTGACCATCGGCTTACGACTGAGCCTCACATTGCCCAACTTCATAGCATGGGCATCTCTCTGAATATGGGCAAAGCCCCAACGGTGATGTGTCCCTTGGTGTCCTTTTCCACCTTTAAACCAGGTACCAGCTCAAAACAAGAAACATGTGCCCTGCCAAAGCAATGGAGCCAAGAGGGTCCCCTTGTTCGGAACATGGTCCAAGCCAGGTCGCTGAAATGCACTGGGAGACCTGCGAGGGTCAAAAACCCTAGTTGCCCTTGTTGAAAACGGGGAGCCTGCTTGATCCGTAGGAAACCCACCAAAAGAGAAAGAACCCACTAAATCCACTGAGCCGGATTTGAAAAAGGTGCTAAGCGCACCTCCACCTCTGCCCCAGTTTGATCAGAAGATCGAGGAGTCAATGGTCGATTTGGGAGGGGCATTGGGGGACTCTCCAAATTCTAAAAAAAAATCCCCATGTGGCCCTGGGTCAACACCCCGGTTACCCCCCAGTGAACATCCCAATCCAACCACCAAAATAGGTTCTAAAATGGGTGGTGAATTCACCTATCCCAAAATGGGATCCCAAAACGGTTTTGACCACCACAGCCATGTCTGACTCAACCTCAGGTGGCCCGAGAGTTTGAAACATGTGTTTTCGTGTACCCAAAAAGAGTCGGTCTTTCCAAGTACTCAAACAGAATCGAGTCCAGAAACTCGCTGCAGAGACTCCAGTCCTTTGCGGGAAATGGCCGTGTCTTTTTTGAGGGAACACCCATTTTGTTTTGAGAGGAGACCAAAAGGAAAGCAACCGCTTTTGTTATTTTTTTTTCTGGGGGAGGGAGCTCTCCCCAATTTTGAGACAAACCCAGCCCAGCGCTTCCAGTTCCCACAATGGTACAACCAAGAAACGAAAAACCTTCATGGAAAAAACCTAGAGCCAACAAGAAACCTTGGTTTCCTCTCTTTCGTGGCTTGCAAATAGAAGCACCGGGGCCGGACAGATCCTCCTCACCTCGGCCCCCCATCGGCCCCCGACGCCACGGACGCGCTCCCCAAGGCTGGCCGCCGCCGCCCGGCGCACGAAGGGCTCCGGGTCGCTCAGCTTGGCCGCCAACCGCTCCACCTGACGTGGACGTCAAAGCCGGCGGACCCGTCCACACGTCGCCGAAGCTTTTGAGCGAGGGAACCCCGTTGGTTCAAAGCAAAGGGCTGTGGCTCCAATAAATGGGACCCAAAATGGCACATGGAAGCAAAGACTTTGATTCCTGCGTAATCAAATGCGGACCTTTTTGTCCAAATGTGGCTGTGGCTCAAAGAAATGGAAACTGGGAAACTGTAACTCACCCCAAAAATCAAAGCAAGAACAAATGGCTGTGGCTCAAATCAACGGAACCCAAAAGCTCCACCTGACGTCACGGGTCTCCGTCTTTTGAGGGATCCAAAGGGCTGTGGCTCAAATCAATGGAACCCAAAATGTTGCACCTTGGCAAACGGAAGCAAAGACTGAAACCTGCGATAACCTGCGCAACAGCTCTGTAACTTTGAGCCGCACCCGAATATGGCCTTACTGAAGCTTACTCCAGTTGATAAGTGGTTTGTCCCATTTATTCATGGGTTTTCCTCCATCCCGCGTACTGCTTCGTAAGGAGCGGTCGCCATCACTATCTTGTCACTTTAACGAGCATTCCCTCGATCACTCGCAGACTTGGAACTGGATTGAATATGACTTGGCTCCGCCTCCTTTAATGAATGTCCAAAACTCGTCGACTTTTTCGCTCCAGTGATGACAATTCAAGTTTGTTAAAAATCGGCCTTACCACAACCACCCTAAGCTCAGGTGGCAACCAAAACCATAATCGATAAGCTCAGGGGGCAACCAAACCACCCACCAACATTGCCCCTTCTGGGAATCCGTTTTGGGCGCTTCCGTCCGAAACCTCCCGCCAGCGCGCACGCGCCGTCGGGCCTTTGTGCAGCGCCAGCTGAGCGCATGGCACGCCTGCTCTCGCCTCAGCACCCACGGGCTCAAGCCCAAGAAACCATCCCTAGGTCCTCCAGTAGAGAGGTTAGAATACGGGTACCAACTTTTCTTTGTTTTGTCTATTTTAGTAGGGGAACCCTCCCCAAAAAACGACACGGCAAAAGGGCACTACTGGGGGACCTAGATCCCCTGTGGATGGATGCGAAATCCGCTTCCACGGTTCAGAAACCCTGGCTTCTGCTCTCACCTAAGAACCAACCTTTCTTAGTGGGGTAACACGGGTTTGTCCTCCAAACATGACTATACAGCATACTGAATACCCAGGAACAAGCACTCAGTTGCCGAGTGGATTGGTCAAAACAAGTACCCTTGGACTAGTGAGGACATTTCGATCGCGCAACGTGTTCTCTTCCAAATTCACGTGAACCCGGCAAAACCCATCCGTTTTGTAGGAACAACTGTTTCCCTTTTGGAAGGTTCATGTTGCTGGGAAAGCAAGCCTTCAGCTTTTTCATGTGAGCCACGGTCAATATTTCATTGTGTCTCAAAACTGACATGGAGCTTCAGCATGTAACCCCTGGCTCCTGATGTTATTTTGGTGACATTGGCTCATACTCTTTCCGACATCAACGGCACATATTCACCATTGCTCATTTGGCATTCATCCCGCTACCGAAACAACATACTCTGGCCATCAGCTTCATAACCCAAAACCTAACCAGGTAGGAACCAAACAAACCAAAATCTACCGAAACTAAAGCAACCGAATCTACCAAAATGGCCCTACGAATCGGTAGGGGCGCTTTGCAAGCTCAGTCGCACGTTCACATCGGCATCCTCCAAAAGCGGCAGCAGGTCCTCTTCCAAATCTGCGCCCTGGCAATCCAATTCGAATCGGAGCCTATGTTTTCAGGGTCAAAAGAACCGGCCATCTTTTTACCCCCACTTGAAATGGGGAAGTCCCCTTATGTTCAGCCAAACAGATTGTTAGACCCCACGGTGGCACATTCGAGTGTTCATTCCCCATTCTCACGCATCCTTCTCTTCAGAAACCTGACATTTTCCTGAAGTTTGGGCAAACAAACAAATCTGGAAAGCAGGATCCCAAACCGAATGAAGAAGGAGGCCATGTTCCATTGGGTTTGGCCCATTTTCTGAGAGGAATCCCTGAAGAGAGCGATGCCTTGGCCACCTGCAGCGCTTGTATCCCCACGCAGCGCAGCGATGCATCCTCTGCACTCAGCAGCTTCACCTGAGTCAAATGGCTGTGGTTGTCAAAGAAACTCGTACCCAAAATGGAACCCTGGTAAATGGAAACATGGACTAAACCCTGCGGTCCCCTGGTGGTTTAATTTTGACCCATACCCAAATCGATACTTGGAGGGTTGTTTGCAGCCATACATTTGAACAACCAAACCCTGGAAACTGTCCCGCACAACCAAAACAAGGTTTTTAACATCTGGTGCTTCATGACCAATGCCATACCTGATTGAAACAAACTGGGAATGCCCCAGACCTCCAGTGGGCAAGAAAAAGCCAACCCTTATGGTTTGGTAGTTGAAAAATCGAGACACACCCACTTCTAGCTGAGGGAAAAGGCCACCCTGGTGGTTGGTAGTTGACTTCAAACTGAGGGAAAAGACCACCCCGGTGGTTGGTAATTAGTTGACTTCAAACTGAGGGAAAAGGCCACCCTGGTGGTTGGTAGTTGACTTCAAACTGAGGAAAAAGGCAACCCTGGTGATTGGTAGTTGAGTTCAAACTGAGGAAAAAGGCCACCCTGGTGATTGGTAGTTGACTTCAAACTGAGGCAAAAGGCCACCCTCATGGTTGGTAGTTGAAAAATAGTCACACTGGGGAAATGCCCCACAGGTCTGGTTTAATCAGGAGCGAAAGATCGCGGCGCACACACTGAGTCTGCCACTAGAGCCTCCGTTTGCTCCTGCCGTGCTCCAAAAAGCCATGGTCAAAACTCCAACAAAAAAACTGATGGACAATATCCATTTCACACCGGTTAGGTGGTTTATCAACCAGTTTGTATTGGGGCGTCATGCATCCCAGTTTCGAACCTCCACATCATGGAGTCACGGTTTCCGTGCTTAGGAATCCTTGCCGATATGATCCTGGTTTCAATTCCCAATCGAGGGGCCCATGACCATCCCTACCATCAAAGGTGCTTCAACTTTGCCTGTAAACAGGAGACTCCAGCCCTTCAACCAAGAAAGGCAAAAGAGCAGCAAGCAAAACGGACGAGGCCAGCATACTGCGCAAGTGTCAAGACTCCAACACTCGGTTGCTTTCTGCTCTAAAGTTTAACTGTCAGTGGTTCAATGGAAAACCCACTGGTTGGCAAAAAGCTAAAGTCCTAACATCCCTTGGCAAAATGCACCAAAGAACATGTGGTATAACCCCCCACCTCCGCTGCGTCGCCCAGCTTTCCCAAGGCATGCGCCGCGCTCCAGCGCACCTGGTGGCTCTTCAAACCCCCGTTCTTCCCCGCGTTCAGCCAGCCCACACCTGTTCTTACTTGCCCAGAGAACCTGGGAATAAAAGGTGATCACCTTTTGGGACCTCTACTAAAAATGGACCAAAAGAGGAAACCAAGAGGTCAAAAGGTGGGCTTTGAACAACTGAGTGTTGCCTTGCTGGTGCGACAAGTAGCGAATGAGGGAATGAAGCTAGGGTTTCCCCTGAAGGAAACTAGAAGGGATGATTTACAAGGCTCATTCCAACTCATTTCCTGCCTATCGCACCGGCAAGTTGTTCTTTGGAGCAACTTGAACAGGCCCTTTGAGGTCAAAAGCCACGCTCGGGCTGCGAAAACAGGGTCCCCCACAAACCTTGTTTCAACATGTCTAGACACCCATTGCTAAACAAACAAAAACTCCGTGTGGTTCCCTTTGGTCCAAATGGAAATTTAGACGTCGCAGGTCGTTGTCTTTTTTTTGCGATTGAGACGAGATTCAGACGGGAAATGTGCAAATATCCCAATGCAAAAACGGATAAGAACTCGCTACAACTCCCCCTGTAAAGTCATGTACTGGGCCCAGTGGTTAACTACTTCCAGGGGTTCTCAGTATCACAAACTGAGAGTTGCTGCCCTTTAACCTACCACTCGAGGGGTGACTTTGACACTTCGGTCAGACAACAGTTGATGCTTCTTAGGTGTTTTGCCAAGACCTTCTCCTGTCAAGGTCAAATTTAGAAGTGCACTCCGTGCGGCAGGCGTGGGACGGTCACTCAATCCCACCCTTGTAAATCTATAACTTATAACAATAAAGGCTTCCCGCGCCCAAATTGGCCACTTCAACCTGCGTAGTCTTTGTGAACTTCAAGAAGCGCAGCTTTGAAGGTCTCTTTTGTCTGGGCAGCGTAATGGCAAACTCACGAGCCAAATAACAGGCGGAAGCCTCCATAATCAAAACCCGGTATAAAAGTGGTCGGCCCAGAACAATGCTTCAAGAATTAAGAAGGCGGAGATCCGCAGCTATTCATGGGTGGGATTGTCCCTTACTAACCTTCACTTACCCGGGTTTTGAGCAAGTGACTCACATGGCCAACTCCTTCGTGACCTGAGCCTTGCGCTGTCCGGGAGCTGTGATTCAGGTTTGCCGCCAGTGTGGCCGCATGCCCCGGTGACGCCACGCCTAAGCAACCGTCCAAATCATAGCTCAAAGTCTGGGGTGGTCAAACGGAGCCCCTGAAAAAGTGGATGTTTGTTGTCCGGTTCGCGGACTCAGAATGTCCCAACAGGAATTGCCTGAGGCCAGCGCCGAGTCGTGACAGAGACTCTGCCACCGGGCCCCAGTTCCAGCTGTCAATTCCTGCCGTGAGCCGCTTCCGCCGGAGAAACGGGACCGAACTGAACCATCCCTATGGCTCTCTTAAGGGGATCCGTGGGTTCCGGCCGACTTCCCCAACCAGCAAGACAACCTGCCCAGGCGGCAAGTGACAGGAGCCTGGAGGCTCCGGCTGTTCTGAGCTGAAAACACCAAGTCTAGGGGAACTGTGTGGACTACGTCCTTACAGAACTCCTGGTAGCTCCTTAGCTCCCTCTTCACAAGCGAACTTGGATACCCCCAGCTCCTCCCTTCCAACCCCCAGCTAGTGGAACCCTGATGGCCAACGCATGCCCTCCCTCCTTGCAGAATCGCTGCCAGCTCCGCGGTGAAGGGGGTCCCCATGTCACCTGGATGGAGCGCAGTCCCAGACTCCACAGTTCAGCACAAATTTTGCTCCGGGGGGCCATATCAGGTGTTTCCGGCGCCCGTTTGGCCAAAGAAGTGTCGAAAGGTCCAAGGGATACAGAAAGATGGCAAACATCTGCGCGCACACAAACACACACACACAATCCGGCAGCTCTGGGCCAACCAAAGAAAACCTGCACCGGTGAAAAAGTAATCAGCTCTGACCTGAAGCTAGCGGCCAAACGCCTTTCCTCTTTTGCCATGTGAGGTGTAAACCGTTGATGCAGAGGTAAAGCATGCATATAAGGTGTTCGATTGCACCTGAGCATTGCAATGTGAGAAACCTCGCGATTTTTCCAAACATGAGATCATGTCAGAACACCTCGTCTGAGGTCAGCACCCAACTTGCCAAGAGTTTCCTCGGTCGGTGCAGCTGAGGACATGAGCCATCTTACCCAAGCATTTTCCCTTGAAATGACTTGCCTTTGTCAAGTGAGTCACAATCAAACCTGCTACTAAACTGTTCTACCCAGAACCATGAAAAAAATAAGAAGGCGGCCGTAGCTATTTATGGCTGGGTTTGTCCCTTACTAACCTTCATCACCCGGGCTTTGATTGTGGCTCAAGTGACTGCATATCCCGAATCTCTTGATGTACATTCCCCGCTGCTTGGCATCGTTTGCGATGGCATCAACCCGTCAGGGAATAGAGGTTACTCTGCCATGACTTGCTGGTCTGATAGACAGGGAATGAGAAACGGAATGCACCCCTTTCGAACCATCGCCAATTTGGTTTCCTTTCAGGGTACCTCTGGGTTCATTCCCAGACTTTGGGTCATTCCCTATCGCACCAGCAAGACGACACTTCAGGAAAAAAGCTGGCGTGGGTTTCTCAAGAGGAAGAGGCCAAGCTTCCACACACCTGCGACGTGTCAAGGCATCTCCGTCATGAAGCCGCTGTGCAAGTTCGGGGGCGAATTCACCCACCTGGCAATCGGAGGCGAGTCTCGAAAGTTGACCCTGATTTGTTGAACCCCCATTGATCGGGGAAAAACAGACTTTCCACTGAAAAGGGACTCCCATAATACCAAGAGGGGAAATATGAAGCACGGGTCGACCTGATTTCAAAGGGAACCGAAAGGAACCCAACGGAACCCAACCAGATTGGTGTTCCCATATTTTGAGAACCATTTGCATTCCTCTCATAACTTAAAAGGCTTCCATTTATCCAGGGTCTCCTTTCGGCGCGCTCCATGGCAACGGAGATGGCGCTTTGCACTGTCGAAAGGCCACGATTTCGAAATCCGCATGTCAGATTCGCCGAGTCTCTCTGGGTATTGTGACTTCCTTGAGGCCCTGTGCAAATCAAACAACTCTTTCCGGCTTGGCCAGACTATCACAAGCACTTGTTGATTCTGTCTTATATTCATCCAACGCAAAAGATATACGTTTTATTTCTGAGGAGACCCCAGGTGGTCAGCTTCCGTCCAATTGGTTTGTGGCCCCCGCGGTTTAGGGGCGGTTTCCCACTCACTCTACAAGAATCAGGAAATTTGAACCAATGAAAACCTCCGATTTTCGGGTTGCATGAGGTGGGCAACCCTTTAGGCCCCAAGAGAACTGCAACGATCCACTTGACCGCCGGAAGCTTCCGCCGGCGCCGCCGCTTTGCTGTTCGCCGCCAGCTCCCCAAGTGCCTCATCCGCGAAGAAATGTTGATTATTTCTGCCATGGTGGCTGTGAAGGTTTACCTATATATGTACAACATGTATGTATATGTATGATATATTGTACGTATAATATGTTGTAACCCTTCTTGCAACTGGCGTGAAACCAGGTAGAAACATTATATGGGCCTGTCTTCAAAACGAGGACCCCAACCGCAAAAAGGATGCCCGCGAAGAATGACACACGTGTCAACATATCGGGATGGTTTCTTGTGCCAGGGAATCGCAAAGGAAAACCTGCTACGCCCAAAGAGGGTTGGTTGCGAATTCCCCATTCTCACCCATCCTCTTCAGAATCAATCCGTGTTGCTTGAAGTTTAGGCTCATTTTCTGAAGAGACAGATCCCTGAAAAGAATGGGAAAGGAGCCTACGGCTAGCCTCACTCACCATTCACATGGCACCTGACAGACAGCTTCAAGACAAAGTTGGGCTCCCAGGTTTTGTCCCAGCTATGTGGGTTCTCAAAATTGGGAATCGGCATTGGTTTCCTTTTGGTGTTCTTTAAACAAAAACTAGCCAAGGAGCTCGAAAACATGGCCATGTGGGAGGGCATAGGAAGGCGATTCAAGGGTCTAGCTGCCTGGTTGCTGCAAGGACCCCCCTGCAAACAGTTGCACTTTTTCGGGGTTTAGTGGAAACCCCCTTGATGTTGCTTGCTGTTGACCCCCCTGCAAACAGTTGAACTTTTTGGGGGGTTTAATGGAAACCCCCGATCCGATCTCCCAAAAAGTGAAAGTCTAAAGATCCAACCCAATAGCAGTCAAGAGTATGGGGCGCTGTCTACTCTTGAAACCAGAGGTCATTGCCATAGATGCAAGCTACTGCGGACGAGCAAAGTCCCTCACCAGTTGGTAGGTGGGTTTTCCCAGTGTTCACAGGCTTCATCCATCCTGGTGCGAAGCGGATTTTGTGCA